TATTTATATATATATATATATATATATATATATATATATATATATATATATATAAAATACTAAAATAAATATAACATCCCTACTTCGTAGATTTTCACCTATTACGGGGGTGTCTGGAACATAACCCCCAAGATAAGTGAGAGGCTAATGTATATCTTTTAAATATTCAATTATATTTAGATTTTTAAATGGTTTATCAGAATATGTCTGTGACTTTGACAAATACTAATAAGACCATCGTAAAGCCAAATAGAGCAAAATAACGTTTACAGGTTCTGCCATCTATGACTGAATATAAAAATGGAATACAGCAGCACATTTAATCTTAAACAACCAATGATGAATAAATTTGTTTTATATTTCACTATTTTAGCCACAATATTTAAAAATCTAGCTAAATTATTCAACAAGATGAACAAGTTGTCACAAAACCTGCTACATGCTAACAGGCTAGCAAAGTTAGCATTATTAGCTTTGTGATTGTTAATCAGCTTTTTTGCTAAATTTCTCGTCACCAAAGCATTTTAAAGAAATTATCTTTAAAGATTTGTTTTCACCAGATACAAACTAACACTAGTTAAACTCTGCTAAAATAAATTTAAGTTTTATTATTAATTAGCTTTCTGTAACAGTTACCTTGTAAACGTTAAAATAATTCAGTCAGGAGTTTCACAAGTCAGAGTATTAATGAAGGTGTCTAGATAACGTACACTTAAAAACATTCTGAATTATCTTAGCTACACATTGTTTTCTCACATTACAGTAGTTTGGTGTTTCTGTTTTAGCTTATGAGCAACATTTTGTTCATTTTATTAATGGGTCTCACTTAAAATGTTTACAATTCTGATTTACGGTGTTTACAGAAATTACACACACTTATGGTGTAGAGGCAGGGCAGCCGGCTTGGGACCCAAAAGTCCCAGATTCAATCCCTGGTCACTGCACACCTTGTGGTGTCTCTGGGCAGCACACCTTATCCCCAAAATGGCCCCCGGGTGCTTTCAATAGCTGCCCACTGCACCACCTGGTGGTGGATGGATTAAATGCAGAGACTATTTTCGCCATTGTATGGAAACATACAGTGATGACAATGTGATGACATTATTATTATTATTATTATTATTATAAATAAGCGATTGCAGACTTGGTCTGTTAGCATATCAAATATTCAAATATTTGTACCTTCTAAAGTCCGACATCATTTCTTTATTTTTAAGGACTAACATGTCAAATCTTTGGTTACAATTCTGTTTTCTGTTTAGTCATAGAAGTCCCACAAACACTCTGGATCATGGTTTTATATTTTGAGATGTGCACAAGGTGCTGTAGAGACTTCTGTATCTTCTGGACTAAGATTCCAATTTCCTGTTCCTGGTCTGGACCTACAACTTTCAGCTCGTTACAAATGGCTGTGTTCCCCTTGAGAAAATGAACAATTTCCATTGATCGTTTAGGTCTTAAGTGCTGTTGTCATCGCTGCTTCAGCTGCTTTGAAGGAAGCGAGATTGAGGGTTTGTTTCTGCCCCCAGTTCTGTAAAAAACCTGGCTGCTGTCAGCTTTATTGATTTAATCAGGTGTCTTTGACATAATGTTATATTTTACAATTTCAAATCAGTTAAAACGGTAATGAATTTAAAGTAGTTTTACTAATTGTTGGGATAAAAGTCTTGAATATTTATTCTGTCGCCACCTTTCTCTTGAAGCTGCAGCAGCATCTTAAATGCTGAGGTGGCTTATGCAATTCAGTAAAATCCACCAACAAAAAGGTTTGGATCATGAAATCAAACAAAGCGTGCAAAACTAGAAAACCACACGTTAATTTTTCAGCCTTCGATGATCTGTAACTGGAACTTAAGCACAATAACTGCTCTTCAGCCCTCGCAAACTCAAAAGGTTCATTTGTATTCCTGCAGTCAGCCCATTTTTCTGCTCGCTGCAGTTATGTGACGACCAAAGAGGAGTGTTTCTGAGCTAAGATTTCTGTGGAAACAGTTGCCATGCAACAGCACAATACAGCATTTATACACGGTAGTAACTTCACTGTATGACTGCTCTTTTCTTGATGACTCCCATAGCAGTCCAGCATCCCTGATTCTGTCCCTACTGTATTTTCAAACAGAGTTTTTGTTTGGAGGAGGTGGTAACTGTGGTGTCCGTGTTTCGTCGGTGGTCAGAGGAAACTTTGCTTCAACGTCTGCACCCACACCCAGACTCCCTTTAGTTTCCACGTTCGGTTCCAGCTCTTCTAATCCTCAGCTCTTACTGTTAACCTTCGTTTGGCAACACGACATTTCCTCCCTTCGCCCTCAGCCAGCTCCTCATCTTTGGCCTGTTCTCCTCTACGTCTGACCCCGATGGCCCCCTGTCAGTTGAACTGTTCATCCCCTCCAGGCTGCAATAGAGGTCCTTTTTTCCCAGTTTCTTCCCAGCTCTGTGGGGAATCCCCTGTGCCCACATTCATAATGAGTCACCAGCTTAGATAACAGACAGCAGACCCACAAACAAGGCAGGGTATAATTTATCAACCAGCTGG